TGGCCCAGGGTGCAGGAACTGGTCCAGGGTACAGGAACTGGTCCAGGGTGCAGGAACTGGCCCAGGGTGCAGGAACTGGTCCAGGGTACAGGAACTGGTCCAGGGTACAGGAACTGGTCCAGGGTACAGGAACTGGTCCAGGGTGCAGGAACTGGTCCAGGGTGCAACTTTGTACTTTGGGTCCAGGTTCATGAGGTGCAACCGTGTACCCCCCCCCTCCTTCTCCCTTCCCTGCTGTTGTTAAACTTTGCATTGTAGCGTTCTTACTATTTTCAGGCTGAGCATTCTTGGGCTCCATGTTCTTCGGCACGCAATTCTACTGCGTCGGGAGTATTATCTTGGATGCAGATAGAATCACTGCATGAGGATTAGGGGTGAAACGATTGTACCGAATACTCGAAATGGAAATCGTTACAAGCTAACAAATCGATTATTCGAAAGTTTCCATTTCTTGATTATGCATACAGTACACATGATTACCGTAATGTCGTGTATAAAAGCAGGTGCTTACGGCCGTATAAGACACAGCTCAAACCATGCTTCTATTCAAAACATGCTTCTATTCAAAACATGCTTCTATTCAAAACATGCTTCTATTCAAAACATGCTTTTATTCAAAACATGCTTTTATTCAAACCATGCTTCTACGTCAACATCATCCTCTGCACTGTGCAGTGCATACTGCCACGCATGTACTCGCACATGTACCTAGTCTTTGCAGGGAGCGGCTTCTATTCAAACCATGCTTCTGTGTTACGATGCGCAAACTCGGCTTTTATTCGAGTCATGCTTCTATACAGGTCATGCTTTTATACAGGTCATGCTTTTATACAGGTCATGCTTTTATACAGGTCATGCTTTTATACAGGTCATGCTTCTATACAGGTCATGCTTTTATACAGGTCATGCTTCTATACAGGTCATGCTTTTATACAGGTCATGCTTCTATACAGGTCATGCTTCTATACAGGTCATGCTTCTATACAGGTCATGCTTCTATACAGGTCATGCTTCTATACAGGTCATGCTTCTATACAGGTCATGCTTCTATACAGGTCATGCTTCTATACAGGTCATGCTTCTATATATGGTCATGCTTTTATACGCCACACTACAGTATACATGTGTGATTGTAGATCGCCCGATGTGCGAGAAAAAATTCTTTTCTCCGCAGGATCAATTTTACAAGAACCCGATAAAGGTTTAGGTTACTAGTATTGGATAGTCTAAAAGTGTAACAGTTTCATCCCTATCCTATTGAAGATGCATAAGGGGCCGTCTGGGGCTACGCAAAGTTTTAGTATGTTCAGCCCCTACCCACCCACCCATCTACCTTTCCTGCAGGTAAAAACAAATCTCGATAAAACATTGATGTCAATGTTCTTCACCCTGAAGTAACTGCACTCTCAATCTGCATTCAACAATTATTTTCAAAAGGAAACTCCTAAAATCCAGCCACTGCCAAGCGAAAACGTTTCGTTCTGAAAATACTACCCGTAACCTTGGATCGCCCCTAAGGTGGATGTACAGATGCATGAGGTTAATACATGTGGCTGCATTTGTTCAATTTTGTTTCGTTTCTGCTCAGACTGTGGACGTGTGCATCAGTGGAGCTGTGAGCGAGCGGCTGCGTTCGCCGTCGTCCTGCCCACACAATGAGACTATTTCAAAGTCAGGTAAGGCGACGAAACTAGCAATGTTCTGCTGCTAGGATTACGGGGAGGGGTGAGAGGACAGTGCAAGCATACTCAAGAATAGGGTGAATGTAAGATAGATAGACGGAGGACAGAGCAGAAGTGTTTAAGGGATTGCGTAGTGGCAGGGGAAGGAACATGATTCACCCTATTCTTGAGTATGCTTGCACTGTCTTCTCACCCCTCACCGCAATCCTCACCCTCCCGCTTCAAAGTTAAACGCACAGCGTTGGCTCACTCCGTCCACCACAATTACACCCCGCCTCGTATCATGATGCTCACAACCCCTAGTCACGTCAATACAGACTATAGCTCTCGGCACACACACCCCTCCTGGCATTTGCCAACTGCGAGAACCGGCCGCTGCCTGGTTCCCCTCTGTATATATCTCTCTCTTCATTATTTCAATTGCCTCCCATCAACGTTGCGCGATATTCAATCATCAATTTTATTTTGTTCACGTAACAGATCTCATCCCTGCTGCTTATCTTAATCTACTCGTGCACGAGCCACGCTCACCCGTACGTCTAGCTCCCCCCCCCCCCCCACTCCCCACTCACCCGTACGTCTAGCTTACCCCCCCCCCCCACACACACACACACACACTCACCCGTACGTCTACAGTCCATTGAGAAAAAGATGATACCCTAGCTTTTGGCCATAAACGGGTCAAATTTTGAGTTTTTGCCCCACTATTTTTTGGCAATCCCCATGGAATGCTCTTCCAATTGTGTTTTTGAAGTCTATTTCTCCAAAGAGCAAGCCATAACGAGAATAGAATAGAATTTCGGCCAGGTTTTCCCCCAAAGCACTGAATTGGGGAAAACCATGAAAATCCAGGCCGTTCACTCCACTTGCATAACTGTACATTTGCGGTTCGAGCCCCAGTTGGGGTACCTTTTTTTTACCCTTTTTCAAGTTTCAAATCTCGCGGCACTGCACAGTGTACCAAAAATCGCCAAATACGGGAGCTCTCCAGAGCCAGCGCTCATCTTTTTCTGAATGGACTACAGCTTTCCCCCTGCTAATCATACAATTTCTTTAACTCATTCAGCCCTAAAGACGTATATATGGGCCGCAATCAGCTATAACATGTCTTTGGGTTTTCGTAAAAAAAAGTTGAGAAATGACGAAATAAAAAATGTTTTGTCGAGCGCGTTCACACTGCGCTTCATTCATGAACCGGTGGCGATCATCTTCTCAAATTTTGTTCGAACACTTGTTTGGCGGTCTAGTTCAAGTAGCTGGCGAGCAAAGACTGACAATGTTTGTATCTAGTGACAGTAGAGCAGCTCACAGGGCCAGACGATCGCTGTGCATGGCGCAGGTTTGGTCAGGTGTCAGCAAGTCCGTGGCGGCGGGTCTGCAGAGCGACGATGACAATTTGTTGGGATCTCAGTGGTGTTGATGTCGACAGCGAAACTGAATCGCCCCTGCCGTCCCCAGTAGCGAAGAGGCAGAAGCTGTGTTAGGCGAGTACATTAGGCGACGAACTGCCTTACGACGTTACATGCTCTCATGAGTCGTCTGACGCAGTCTGGCAAGCGCAGGTGACGATCAAACGTGTTACTGCCAGAATCGAAAGAGTATGCAAGTGCAACGCTGCCCACAGCATCGTGGTGCTTTCCCGGAAGAACTTGGTCCATGACTTGGAACTGATGTCGTTGACATGCTCAAGGCTGTGTCATCACCTCCAGTTCCTTTGTATTGTGCTCCTCCACAAAAGCCACTAAGTTTGTCTGTGTGTCAGACTGTGCGAAAACTTCCATTTTCTATTTCAAAGTATAATTATATTTTGAAAGTTATGTTTGCGGCACTTTGAGACTACTTTGGTGGCCTGTACCGCCTTCAAGATGTCAAGTAAGGTCTCAAAAACTGTTTTCCAAAATTTGCAAATGTTCACTTGGAGACATGTTTTAGCTGGTTGTGGCCAATCTACTGTAGTGTCGCGTATAGAAGCATGACCTGCAGAGAAACATGACCTGCATAGAAGCATGATCTGTATAGAAGCATGACCTGTATAGAAGCATGACCTGTATAAAAGCATGACCTGTATAAAAGCATGACCTGTATAAAAGCATGACCTGAATAGAAGCATGACCTGTATAGAAGCATGACCTGTATAGAAGCATGACTGGAATAGAAGCCGGTTTTTCGAAGCGCACCGTGATGCAGAAGCACGATTTGAATAGAAGCCGATTTCTACAAAATACACGTGCAAGTACGTGCACAGTACATGCGTAGCAGTATGCACTGCACAGTGTAGAATGATGATGTTTTGAATAGAAGCATACCATTAATAGTGGCATGGTTAGAACTTCGGCATATACGACCGTAAGCACCTGCTTTTATACGCCACATGACGGTGCTAGTTATGGAAAATGACCACCAGGCGCTGAGAATGTATACGTCTTTTTCAATGTCAAATAATGAGTGTACAGCCTGGGTGCCATGACCTGTATCTCTTTAACGGGTTAATCAAGCATTCCAAACCCTCCATGAGCCGTGAGCCTCAGGGGCCGTTTACATGAGGAAAATAAGCCCGGGCTTATTCGCCTCGGGCTTATTTTTCAACCGTTTACATGACGGTTGTACGGGGCTGAGCTCAGGTGAGTGACTGCGAGTTCTGCGCGCATTATTTTTCAAATCGCACATGAACGCAGTGGTAAATATTCGTGTCTGATGAAATTTGGATCAAGAAATGCCGGCTCAGGTTTCTACTGCCTTTCCAATTGTCACTTATTTTTCGAGAAGGTGAAAGATGGGCTAGGACCTTCCACTGGACAAAAACCAGAAGAAAACATACCAAGAAACAAATAAAAGAGACGCACTGTCCACGGCCACATTCTCTCAGGTTCACGAGGCAAAATCGAAAAATACGGAAAAACTCGCTTATAAGCCCTTCTTGACCGTTTACATGACAAAATAAGCCCTGGGGGTTGGATAAGCTCGGGGGTCAAGGGTAGGGCTAGTTCAGCTCGGGGCGAGCTGAATAAGCCCGCCTGACCATGTAAACGCGCGCTCTAAAATGACTGGGTGACTGATCAAGGCGGGCTTATCGTACGCCTAGGGTTGAATAAGCCCGGGCTTATTTTTCTCATGTAAACGGCCCCTCACTCTATCATCTCTTGTGGGCCACAGGCCATCGTGAGCCTCATTCTATCATCTCTTGTGGGCCACAGGCCATCGTGAAGATTATATACAGTAAGAGCAACTGGAAGAACTGATACACTGAGTGACAATCAACCTCTCTCACTCTCTCTCTCTCTCCATCTCTCACTCGGCCTCTTGTTCTCCCTACAGACTGGCGGCCATATTGCTGCCATGACAATGTTGGTCTCCTTGAGAACAATACTGCAGACGACGGCCAATAAAGAAGGTAGGCTGTGTGCCAGACTGTTGATGATTTGATTTAATGTATTCGCACTTGCGCCATTTCTGGTGTATAAGAATGATCATTCCACGATTATCATCATTATCATCCTCTACTGATGAGCTCCAACAGGGAGCAAAACAGCTGTCTAGAGGCGTGGAACAATTTTATCTCTCAACGGAAGTGTCCTTGCTGGTGTCTGTATGGTTCGGCTGAAGAGTGCGTGGTTGTGATGAGTTGGGAATGCAATAAATTGTATTGGCAGTGATTTGTTCAATCAGATAAGCGACTTAGTCAGTCCCATATCACAGCCCCACTTTGGACTGTGTGTGTGTGTGTGTGAGTGCGTGCGTGCGTGCATGTGCGTGTGTTTGTGTGTGTGTGTGTGTGCGGGTGTGCGGGTGTGTATGTGTATGTGTGTGCGTGAGTGTGTATATATGTGTGTGCATGTGTGTGTGTGTGTGTGTGTGTGTGTGTGTGTGTGTGTGTGTGTGTGTGTGCACGCATACATGTGTAACATCATTCAAAGTTTCTCCCTCTCCTTCTCTCCTTCTCTCTCTCTCTCTCTATCTATCTATCTATCTACCTATCTCTCTCTCTATCTCTCTATCTCTCTCTCTCTCCCTCCCTCCCTCCCTCCCTCCCTCCCTCCCTCCCTCCCTCCCTCCCTCCCTCCCTCCCTCCCTCCCTCCCTCCCTCCCTCCTCTCTCTCTCTCTCTCTCTCTCTCTCTCTCTCTCCTCTCTCTCTCTCTCTCTCTCTCTCTCTCTCTCTCTCTCTCTCTCTCTCTCTCTCTCTCTCTCTCTCTCTCTCTCTCTCTCTCTCCCTCGAGCGTTGAACCGGGTTCTTAATCCACCATACCCAGTTCGCAAGGCTGGGCGGGGTTGTGAGCAGGCTTTCATTTAATCTTTTCTTATTATTTCTTATTATTTCTGCTTTTCATCTCATTACAAAAATTCTGCGCTTTTTCTCCATCTGCGCATAAAATCTAAACTGACAACCTGCTTGTTAAATCATGCACCTGCTTTCAGGCGTAAAAACCCTGTTGTAGAGGTCTCAGTCCTCATTTGTTAGACTTACCTGTCTTGTAACTTACTCTCTCTCTCTCTCTCTCTCTCTCTCTCTCTCTCTCTCTCTCTCTCTCTCTCTCTCTTTCTCTCTCTCTCTCTCTCCCTCTCTCTCTCTCTCTCTCTCTCTCTCTCTCTCTCTCTCTCTCTCTCTCTCTCTCTCTCTCTCTACCACACACACTCTCTCTAGTATCCACAGCTAGCGGCAGAGCCGAGGAAGCACCTCACATCCAGCGATGGCACGGAGACACGGTTCAGCTACACTGCCTGGTGGAGGACACTGATCAAGCACAGTACGTGACTTGGAACAGCACTTCGCCGGGCTATCGGGACGCCATTGCCGGCGGTCGCATTCGCGTGACGTATCATGTACTTGCCGAGGAGCGCCGTGTTCATTCCAACTTGACGATATCCGTGCTACGGCGCACCGATGCAGGACTATATTGGTGTAGTTTGGCTGATACCGTCGTGCCTAGTCACGCTGTAGCGCTGGTCCAGCTCACTGTTCTAGGTATGGTTACTGTGCATGTAGTTAGCTGCTTTGATGTGGATGTGTGTGACTGTGTGTGACTCTGTGTGACTGTGTGTGACTCTGTGTGACTCTGTGTGTGTGGGAGGGGGGGGGGGGGGGGAGGGGGGTCTGTGTGTGTGTGGGGGGGGGGGGGGGTATGTGTGTGTGTACATGTATGTGCGTGTCACTGTGTGTGTGTGTACGAGTGTGTGCGTGTGTGTTTTCCTTTTGACTACATTGAGAAGAGTGTTGCTTTTTAAAAGATCTGAACTATGTAGATTGATAGTTTCACCGATGGACACTCATGGACACTCATGGACACTCATGGACACTCATGGACACTCATTTAAACTATTCCAATTTCAGAAACTTTCGCTGCTCAATATTTTCGGTATGAGGGCAAAAGGCCAGGTTAGGTGAACAGAAATTTTCGGTACAGAGAAGCAGTTCCCTATTGGATTATGTGTGTTAGTGTTTGTTCGGTGTATTGAAATTTTAGGTAGGATACAGATGCGCCGAATGTACTGAAGAAAGAAAAAAAGGTACAATGTACACCGAAAATTAGTGAAGTTAGAGTATTGATAGTACCCATGGAGGGCATGTGGCGGCCCCATGCTTGTCTTCATGACATACATACAGCCAGCGAGCCACACAGCCACCGAGCCAGGGCAGCCATACAGCCACCGAGCCAGGGCAGCGTGGGAGACGGGGACACGACACGGGCGACTGCAAAGCTAAACGATATGGGTCTCGCTCCCAGCCTGCCCCTTGCTGCCGTTCTTGGCGTTGGGCCGGTTTATACACACACCTGCATGCTATCTCTTGTCTGGGCTGGGTTTGAGGTCAGTAGATCAAAGCCATGATTGCAATCACAAGTTGCTTAGACCACGGATCTCGTCGAACTTTTTTTTTCGAACCCGGGTTTGAAGTCGACATCTTTTCGGATACCGTGCAGTGGAGTAGTTTTACCAGAGATTTACATCACACCAAATTTTTGGCCTGGTCCATCACCAGGGAAATTACCCTTGAATCGGCTTGATGTAATGAAATTTTCAATTCCCGTAGCTATGCAAAAGACGTTACTTCAGTAACGTCTGGCGCTAGCCAGGGTCCACACAGCTGTAATTCCGTGTTTGTGTGTTTGTGTCGTCGGCATGCCTGGCGCTATCCCGTACCTGTCCGGTACCGTGCCATCAAAGACAGCAGGCCACAATATTCAAATAGAGCTTTCAAATGCGAGATCATAACGTGAAGCAACTTGGAAGAATGAGTATGTATGCGAAGTGTATCGGGGGAATGCATGCAGTGCGGATTCGAATCCAAGGTTATGTCTTGAAAAAATAGGAGAAAATGAAAATGTTATAACATCCCTATGCTTTTTTTGCCTAGGTCATCAAGGTGGTAGACGGTGTCGTATAACCTCCAATGCAAAGAGAAAGTTTATTTATTTCACTCAGGGCCCTACGCTATATTTATTTTGCCTAGCTCATCATGCATGTTATTCGAACAGATGGAAACTTTCTGCAATACAATGATGTAGCCAATCAATGGAAAAAACATTTCCATCAGTTCTGATAACATGCATGACGAGCTAAGCAAAAGAGCATAGCGTAGGGCCCTGAGCTTCCAAGCTCTCTCGTTTGAAATCGCAGTGAAGATACCGTTTTCTCTCTCCCTCTCCCTCCCCCCCCCCTCTCTCTCTCTCTCTCTCTCTCCCTCTCTCTCTCCCTCTCTCTCTCCCTCTCTCTATTTCCTGTGCAGCCCCGGTGAGTAACACCTTCATCAGTCCCCATCAGACCGTGCTGGAAGGACACACCACCACACTGATCTGCAGTTACAGCAGTAGTTTTCCAATGAACATCACCTGGCTATCTAACACCGGTACACCTCTACAGCCCAGTAGGAACATCAGCATACACACCGTACTCGACAGCACATCACACCACATGTCCATCACATCAACAGTAACACTGCACAGTGTGACCAGGCATATGGCTGGCCAGTATGACTGTGTTGCCGTGGGTAACCTGGACCTTAGCACTACCGATCGTCTTGACAGCGGTGCTGGTGCTGGTGATGGAATGAATAATGCCAGCACTGCCACCATCATCAATGTGTTGTGTAAGTTCTAGCATCAATGTAGCATCAAGAGTATAACCCCCCCCCCCCAGAGTGTGCAACTCCTGATACCCTTTCTATGGGGTACGCCGCCGGCGAAAACTCATATCACGTGGTGCAGTGTCACAATTATACGTTTCCTGCCCATTTTTAGCGAGTAGCGGAGTAATCATAAAAGCGCACCCCGGCAGAAACTCACTGCGCGTATGCAACTCGCCAGCATAATCGTGGTTGATTTTCGGATTGCGCGCATGCTATCCTTAGTTACAAAACGTACCTGAGACACGTGATGTAAGTTTTCGCCGTTGGAGATCCCATATGCAGAGTTGCGCACTCTTGGGGGCTTATATACTCTTGGTAGTATTGTGTAAGTGCTAGCATCAATGTTGTATTGGGCGTAAGTACCACTGTATTAAAGTCAACAATTATTCGGCGCATATTTATTTTCGGCTATTTTCAGCCTGATCATATTTGGCCGAAATTTTGTTTTGCATGCTTCAGTGAGTGTGACAGTCAGGCAGCAGCAGTACAGACCGAAAAGTCGTTGCAGCCGAAATGTGTTTTAGGCTGCGTTTACACGGAGACGAAACGAAACGGAACGAAAACGGGCTAGCCTCGAATCGTTTTCAAACCGTTTACACGAGTACGGCAAATCGTTTTGAACCATTTACGCGAAAACGGAAAACGGGCTATCAGGCTGGAGTTAGCACGTGCTGGCTTGGCGAAAGGGCGGGAAGTAACACGTTAGTTGGAGTTGGTACATGGTACGTGCTGGTGGTCGCAAAGGTCAGGTATTTCCCGCAAAATATAGTCCCGCGCGGAATGGTTTCCATGACCGCGCTCTGTTTCCAATCGTTTTCACTGTTTTCACCGTTTACACGAGAACGAAAACGTTTTTAAAACGTTTCAAAACACTTTGAAGTGCGTTTCCATTTCGTTCCGTTTAGGTATCGTTTTCGGGCGTTGTCGTGTAAACGATAGTAGTAAACGCAACGATTTCGTTCTGTTTAGGTCCTACTTCGTTGTCGTGTAAACGCAAATCGTTTTCAATCGTTGTCGTGTAAACGCAGCCTAATAGAGGCCGAAATTTGAATGGGTCGAAAAATTTTCTAATTGTCCACAATCTCCAACGCAGCCATTTACACAAATAGCAAAGTTCACTTCTCAACTCCTAAAACGGTCTCTTCACTGCGATTACTCTGATGATGAGCCAGGCCCGAAAATTTGGTGTAATGTTAATTTGGTTTGAATCGCAGTGAAGAGGTCGTTTTAAAGTTGAGAAGTGAAGTTTGCTAAAGGTCGAAAATTTGTCGACTTTTAGTATCATCAGTGTCCTGTGTAGGTACTGGCATTAATGTAGTATTGTATAGGTAAGCTGTTTTTTCTTGCCATTAGGGAGGTTTAATCCCACGTAATCCGTGTGTACTTTACGTGTGTGTACCACGCGATGCTCAGTGGCACACGGACAGACGTTCTCTGATTCACTGCATGACGTGTATGGAGGCTCGCCCACGTTCCGCCAGAACGCGAGTGAAAATCAGAAAGGAGTGCATTGTGCAAGCTGTGAGGGTGCTCAGCTGAAGCAGTTTTCGAAGCACGAAATCAAAATATTCGATGAGCTCCAAGCTTCGTCTTTGGTCCTTTCGCTTCCTTGCTTTTGTTTGTTGTCGCATGAAAACTTTGCTTTTTTGAAGTCTTTCTTGTCATTCTTTAGTCCGTGTGAGGGCTCACAGGGAAAGGGAAAGATGGTGATACCTGCTATGTCGGATACCGCCAACCATGCATCGACGAGGCACCAGGCGCGAACTGATGGTGGTGGCGGTGAGAAGGAGAGCTCTGTGCCAGAACTTTGCAGCTTAGAGAGCGTGTGTGGGCAGGCGTGTGCTTACCGCCATATTGCCAGGTGTGTCTTTACCACCATATTTATCAACCATAAGTACAGCTGCAGTGGTGTCTTCAACTTCATTCTCCTGGATTCAGATAAAATAAAAATAAATAAAAAATGTCACGGCTCGCATCAGACTCGGCTAGAGGCTGAGTTTTCCGCATCCGTAGGAACACCACCACCCTTCAAAGATCTAAGGCGCAGATACAGCTCCTAAAGCAGTGGGAGGTGAGTAGATCAGCTCACCAGCAACGTGGTCAAAGACCGAAAATCCCATTCACTGCATCAGATAAAATAGACGTGCTGCAAATCATAAAGCTCATGATACCTGATGGTTCGTCTCGAAAGCCCTCCGAGTCACAACACATTCAGAGCCGACCAACCCATCGTCGACACAAACACAAACCAAGCTCACTTCGAAGTGCTTTCGTTTCTTCCCGAACCGTTATCCGAGGTGTTGGTGTCCCGACATAACATGTATACTTTTGTTGTTTTCGCAAGTTTTGAATCCGTGTGACTAAACACAACATTGCGAACGTGGGTCCATTGCATGAACTTTACGTGTATCACCCACGTTCCCGTATCCGTTACGTGCGACTAAACATCCCTATTGTTGCTGCGTCTGCTGCTGGACAGGGTACCGGTGCGTTGGATTGCGGGTGTGTGTGTGTGTGTTTGCGCATGCGCATGCGTGTGCGTGCGTGTATGTCTGTGTGTGCACGGGAATACCAAAGATCTCTTATTCCGGACCTGGTACTGGCTGTCAACGCCCTTTCACAATTCCTAAAACTAACGAAAAACTCTCAATGCAATTATTTCTGTTCTCAGATGGACCAGACATCGTGACTGATCTCAATCCGGCGTATACGTATCGCCACGACAACACAAGCTTGACGTGTGCCGCCGCGGGCAATCCGCTGCCGACCGTCGCCTGGCGCTACTCGCTGGAGAAGATCGAACGCGCGTTCCACGGTGACGGAACCGATATCGGCACGGTTACCAGCGAGCATCCGGACGGCGCCACGACCAAGAGCACGCTGAAGCTCACCGACATCGGATCGTCTTACGTTAACCTGACTGTGTACTGTGTGTTCCGTAATAGACTCTCAAGTAATACAACCAGCAGACACGCAATGGTCTTGTACACGGCAGGTGAGCTTTTTTATTTTTTCATTTTTTTTACGAGAAACCACGAACCTCGGGAACAGAATACTGCATGATAGAGGAGGTGAGTGCTATGGTGCTGCTCAATGAAATCCAGTCGCGGCACTCGAGTTTGCGCCTTGCATCATTTCGCAGCCCGATGTTCGCAGGTCTAGGGCTGTGCAACGCCCGGCGCATGCTTGAGCGACTTGCCATGACTGGATTTCATTGATCAGTGCTGTACATGCAGTGCGATGGGTGCAGGTTCGGAGTGAGCCGGACGTGGGTTCCTACAGTCAGTTTCAAAAAGATTAGCACTCCTGGCGATCGCCTGGGGAGTTTGCCGTCTTACCGTATGAGCACTCGAGCGCTGCCTGGAAAAACTCACTGTGAACTCGAAGAAATATTCCGCGAGAAAGCATGAAAAATGGCAACTCACTCAACTCACTCACGTTGATAGTCATGCACAGGTATGTCTGGTTTACAACAAACGAGTTCTTCCTCGTATCGATAATGGAGTCAGAGAGGACATGTCGAAATGAAAGTGTTGTTAATGTTGACGAGCGGCATGCCGGGGTCCCAATTCGTTTTGTGACCAAATAGTTTCTTTGAGCTGCGGTGCAATTTACTCAACATGTGACGAAAAGGACATCGACACGGACTCATTCCCAAGGCCATGACTTGGCAAAGCTATCCGTGTGACTTCGACGCCATTTTTGAGAAAAGCAGACGCCTGTGAACGCTGATAGAAGACGGCGTTGACTAGTGTTTGTTCTCGTGTTCTTGTTGTATGCATTATCACGCCCATAGCCATTGTGAAGACCTTGGCCTTCATCACAACAATAGGTCTTATGCACGTTGTACGGATGCACGAAATCCCGTAGAATCTCGTAGACTCTTGTAGAATCCCGTAGACCCGGTTGGATGTTGAATGTGCAGGACCCTATTGTGTTTACTGCTATTTTCACTATGAAATGGGCCCTGAAGGCATTTCATACGAAACCTTTTTCCGGCAGAGATCTAGCTAGTCGTTAGTTCAATCCGAAAGTGAAAAAGCTGGAAAAGCAATTGTTTGCCACGAAATATGAGGCTAAATGGGTCAAACCGCGCATGTACAGCGCACAATGTACACCCAACCAGGTATGTACACACCTACGGCCCTGGCACAGAACTTCGTACGTCTGTACAACGTGCATAAGGACCATAGCCATCGTCTCTCTCTGTGTCTCTCTTTCTCTCTGTCTCTGTCTCTCTCTCTTTCTCTCTCTGTCTCTCTCTCTGTCTCTCTCTGTCTCTATTTCTCTCTCTCTCTCTCTCTCTCTCTCTCTCTCTCTCTCTCTCTCTCAGCAAACCCAGCAAAGAGTGACAACGATGATGTAATCATCGCGGCCGCAATCACATTGCTGGCGGTGGGCACCATTTTGGTTGCTATGACAGTACTTTTGTACCGCAACGCACTCATCGGGCATGCCAGCCTTCAAGCCAGGAATGGTGAGTGTGTGTGCGTATGGGTGTGTATGTTTGCGTGTGTGTGTGTGTGTGTGCGTGCGTGTGTGTGTGTGTGCGTGTTTGTCTTTGAGCGGGTTCATGTGTACATGGATATGAGTTTGTCTATGTGTGTGTGTGTGTGTGTGTGTGTGTGTGTGTGTGTGTGTGTGTGTGTGTGTGTGTGTGTGTGTGTGTGTGTGTGTGTGTGTGTGTGTGTGTGTGTGTGTGTGTGTGTGTGTGTGTGTGTGTGTGTGTGTGTGTGTGTGTGTGTGTGTGTGTGTGTGTGTGTGTGTGTGTGTGTGTGTGTGTGTGTGTGTGTGTGTTGTGTGTGTGTGTGTGTGTGTGTGTGTGTGTGTGTGTGTGTGTGTGTGTGTGTGTGTGGTGTGTGTGTGTGTGTGTGTGTGTGTGTGTGTGTGTGTGTGTGTGTGTGTGTGTGTGTGTGTGTGTGTGTGTGTGTGTGTGTGTGTGTGTGGTGTGGGGGGGGGGGGGGGAGGTTGCCAGTTGTATTGATTTTAATGAAATGTGCAGAGCTTAATGACCCTATGATCTTGGAAACATGTATTGATATAAGTTTTTTTTGAGGGACCATGTCTCACTGAAGCAACATTCTGTACATCTGTACATCTGTAGGCAGTGATCAAGAGTGAAAACAACTTGTACATCACATCTGCACCGTACCGTTGGTCAAAGACCATGATTGAGATACGAGAGGTACCTGGCTCAAGTCCTGCACGGGAGCGTTTTTTCCAGCCGTGCTGCTACCCACAGTCAACTGGGAACTTGTGGCCGGGCACAAGGGGTACATGGATGCGGCTAATGGGGTCTTTCTCGGCACTTGTGCCAGTGGTTGTGAGACTTATCCACTCCCCCCCCCCCCCCCCCCCCACCGTTAGGTGTTACATCTGCTGCTAGGGTTTTACCGGGTGTTAGCGGCCGTCGTGAGTTCCCTTTGGGAACGGACACGATGATTTGCTCATCACAGCGGCACATGTGTATCAAGCATAGCTGCAACAGACAACTTTCCTAAATCTGTTAATTTCCAATGTCAGCACACGTTCATCATGATGCAGCCACGTGTAAAGTCGACGAGACCTTTCGTAGAGTTTCTTCTCATATGCGTGCACGTAGCTATATTGTTCTGTGTTGTGTTGGTGCTCAGTAGAGTCCATGTGGTGTTGGTACATAGTGGGAGTCTGTGTGGTGTTGGTACATAGTGGAGTCTGTGTGGTGTTGGTACATAGTGGATCTGTGTGTGTGGTACATAGTGGAGTCTGTGTTGTGTTGGTGCTCAGTAGAGTCCGTGTGGTGTTGGTACTCAGTAGAATCTGTGTTTTGTAGATACATAGTAGAGTCTGTGTTTACCAGTCACAGTGCTGAGTGGAATCATGTATTCATGGGAAATAAAATTCATGTGCAAATTCATGTGCCAAAGTGCAGTGGATCGGATGTGCATCCTGGATTATTATTATTTCTTTGTCCTTTTTTCTTTAGAATCTTTATTATAATTATTATTATTATTATTAATTAAATAACCGACGAGGAGACAACAGTCGTAAAATAGCAATGAAAATATCAATTGTGCACTCATAACCATGTATAAACAATTAAAAATGAAACAATTCCAGAACGTTTTCGTGTGACCATCATCAGTGGAACATCGTCACATAGTAAGAATCACTAAAACAACCAGTTATATAGCTAGAGTAATATGAAAAGAAGCGTGAGAATGCAGCACAGCTAGCGGTTATGCATAACGCGTGTAGTGTGAACCTTTGCAGGTGTATCTGAGAATGGTAGCAGTAGATGAATGTGGCAGCTGTGAGTGCGTGTGAACAAAAACTGGTGAGTGCGTATTATTTAAAAAGTGTGAGTGCTACAACATTTTCTTTTTGCTTGCATAGAACAGGGTCACGTGTGCGAATATATACAGCTTCCAACACCTGCAACTGCTTAAAGAAACGCGCGCGACAAATAACACTAAACCAGGAATCGTCAAACAACTTACGACAATCCGGACTGGACACCAAATGCTTGTAGATGGCAGACTTGCTCTTGTCGATGTCGAACCCCTCCTCGTCCGTATCACTCTCATCCTCCACTTCCTGTTCCTGCTCACCCTTGCTTTCCTCCTGACCATCCTGTTCATCCCCATCATCCATCCCTCCATCTCCATCTCCTCATGCCATCGCTTCTTTCCCCTTGACGTGTTCACTGCTGCGCCCGTACTTTCACCTGCCACTACTGGTTCCGCCTTCTCCATTTTTCTCAGTCGTGTCTCCGCTAGTCCTGGCTTCTCCTCAGATTCGTTTTTCCTCCATTTTCATTTTTGTTCCCCCGAATCTCCTGGTGATCTTTCCGTTACCGCCTGTCAGGTTTGTTAACGAACGATCGTCCGGTGGTCTCCATGCCGTGTTGTTGTCGTCAAGAGTGACACCAGATTCGTGTGTTGCGCTACTGTTGAGTCCGGTGTTGTATCCGTTTCTGGTTGTGTTGTAATACTGACAGGGTAGTAGTAGGCAACGGGTGTTTTCGTGGCCTCCCACGCTTTGGCCTGCCTGCCCTGGCCGCTTTTGACAACAAGGACAATGGGACGTGTTGTTTGATACGTTCGGACAAGTGTTGAAGGCGTCCTGCCAACATACCGACTACCGCACTGTCGGCATTCAAAATGATAAATGAGGTGACTCAAATGATGGGTCGGCAGGACGTCCTTCAACACCGTGAACGAACGTATCGTGGTGAAGACAGTTACTACATTCACTGCATAGTACGTCTTCTGGACAATAGACTTGACAATACGACTGACCTTGTCGACTCCGCGCCTTTCCAAGGCAGGCACAGGAAGACACGACAAGGAGCCGGGCCGATTGTCAGTTCCTTACGGGGCGCCTTGTTCGTGAGTAGTTCGCTAACAGTGATCCTGGATATCCGTTCTTAAGAAAGACAGAGCGAAGGAAATCAAGTTCTACTTGCAGTTTACTCTCGGAGCAAATGCGTCTTGCCCTGTCAGCTAAGTTTCGACTAGATTGGTCTTGTATGCGAAGAGCAATATGAATCGTACATAATATACTGACCAGTGAATGTAGGCTTACGATACACCGATGTCACAACACCCTCACATGTCTTTTCCACGAGTACATCTAAAAACGACAATTTGTTGCAATCCTCGTGTTCACATGTGAAGCGTAATGCAGGGTGGACATCATTCAACTCATCTAGAAAGGCTTCACTGTCACGTCTTGTTTCGAAATAGGTAAATGAGTCGTCCACAAATCGAACGTACAACTGAGGCCACTTTATTTTGTCCATTCTCGATTCGCAATATCCAACGAAGACATTTGCCAGTACCGGGCCCAACGGAGACCCCATCGCCACACGTCTGTCTGCTTATACATAACATCACCAAACGAGAACTCTACGCCACTCGTCACCATCAGCATCAAACGTCGAAATGCTGTCTCCGGTAACCATGGAAGATCAATGTCATCATCATTGTGGTATAGTCTTCGCGCGCAGATATCTATTGTCTCGTCTAGTGGTACGTTTGTAAACAAGCTTACAACATCGAAAGAGCACATATGGGCAGTAGGCGGGAATAGGGTTGTCACGAAGGATTTCAACGAATTCAAACGTGTCCTTAACGTTGTGTTTACAATAATGCTCTAATACCGGTTTGTATCATGCCGCAGAGCCACTTGGATATAGCGTATTGGGGGCGAACAAACCCGACGGCGGTAACGGAAAGATCACAGGAGAACAAAATGAAAATGGAGGAAAAACGAATCTGAGGAGAAGCCAGAGACTAGCGGAGACACGACTGAGAAAAATGGAGAAGGCGGAACCAGTAGTGGCAGGAGAAAGTACGGGCGCAGCAGTGAACACGTCAAGGGGAAAGAAGCGATGGCATGAGGAGATGGAGATGGAGGATGATGATGGGGATGAACAGGATGGTCAGGAGAAAGCAAGGGTGAGCAGGAACAGGAAGTGGAGGATGAGAGTGATACGGACGAGGAGGGGTTCGACATCGACAAGAGCAAGTCTGCCATCTACAAGCATTTGGTGTCCAGTCCGGATTGTCGTAAGTTGTTTGACGATTCCTGGTTTAGTGTTATTTGTCGCGCGCGTTTCTTTAAGCAGTTGCAGGTGTTGGAAGCTGTATATATTCGCACACGTGACCCTGTTCTATGCAAGCAAAAAGAAAATGTTGTAGCACTCACACTTTTTAAATAATACGCACTCACCAGTTTTTTGTTCACACGCACTCACAGCTGCACATTCATCTACTGCTACCATTCTCAGATACCCTGCAAAGGTTCACACTACACGCGTTATGCATAACCGCTAGCTGTGCTGCATTCTCACGCTTCTTTTCATATTACTCTAGCTATATAACTGGTTGTTTTAGTGATTCTTACTATGTGACGATGTACCACTGATGATGGTCACACGAAAACGTTCTGGAATTGTTTCATTTTAATTGTTTATACATGGTTATGAGTGCACAATTGATATTTTTCATTGCTATTTTATTATTAATTACTCAGGTATTGAGCCAATAATATATGTAGAAAGGAAAAGGACATTATGGAAACGAGTTAAGAGTAACTCTCCACCACTGTAACTAGATACTATATACAGTCAGAAAGTGCAACAACTAGGCACAAAACTGACAGAGTACTGAGACATTCGTTAATTACTATTCATATTATCAAGAGTACATAACCCAAGAGTGTGCAACTCCAGCTATGGGGTCTGCGACGGCAGAACTTCACATCACGTGATGAACCCCGTGCACTCTAGTGCATGATAGATACTGGGTTGTACGCAGCCCAGCTTTGGGTACAACTCTCTTGTGGTCACTTTGCACTGTTTGCCAGCATAACCTTTTGAACCATGTCACGTGATGTGAAGTTCTGCCGTCGCAGCACAGCATAGAGGTTGTGCAGGCAGTTGCACACTCTTGGTTATGTACTCTTGATATTATTTAGCAAATTAGAGGCACACATGCTCATGCTGCACTTTTCTCTCCGGAACTCAACACTTGCAAGCCAGATACGAAAGAAAGAAAAACAAAAAAAACATGTCACCTCTAATTTCCTAATAATTGAAATTCTCGTGAAGTCCAAATTTGAAATTACTCTTAATATGTATTCATATTTCTCTAGGGCAGTCCCCCACAGACCTGTGGTCTCCTTACGGGGTACCCTAGCCAATCTATGGATCTAGCGAAATCCTGTCATCGTCAGGACAGTTCCCGCTGCACCAAGGGCAGCTGCACCAAGGGCAGCATCCGCTTATCCGCTGCACCAAGGGCAGCATCCGCTTATCCGCTGCACCAAGGGCAGCATCCGCTTATATCAGGTTTGTACTCTACTTTCCTCCGACGTGATGTCTGTTAACAGTAGAGATGTCTGGCTCTACGGAATTACGTATGAAAATCCGTATGTGTCGTACGCTCCGGGGAGCGAGGGCAGCCTTCATACATAAATCTCTCTACGGATTTCCGTAGCAAAGCTCTTTCCTACGTTGGGTCTTGCGTGAGGCTTTTTGAAATAATTTTCGCATTTTTCCGGATTTATCCACGGCAAAGTTCGAGCCGCACGAAACACAAGGTACGCACCACGCGGATAAGAAAATTGAAAACGCGGTTTCGGTTCTTGGTGCACGCCGTGGGCGCATGCAGCCTCCAAAGCAACAAGGCGTGCTTAGCAGTCGTGCAGAAATCACGTAGAGCGGAACCCAGAGCGCTGATTTTTACGTATGAAAATTACGTTCAGTTCCTAGAGGCGCATTACCTGCAATAGTACTCAAATGCCAGTAAAGGGCAGAGAGTAGCATGCAAGAGGTACACAAAAGGAAGTAAACTACAAATAGATCTGTATCATTGTTGCTGAGGTTGGTTTTGCCATGAAACTCTGAGTAAAAACAAAACAGCCCTATTTTATACAAAGAAAAATGGACCAAGGAACTACAAGTTACGCTATAATGTCCACTAACACCACCAGTTACTAAACAATCAGCTCATGCGATAAACTTGCACGACACTGCACTTTTGTGTGCCTCTTGCGTTCAGTTCCTACGTTATTTTCAGACGTAACTACGTGGAGCGAAACCTGGTTATTATCACAACCTTTGTGATGTAAGCCAGCAGCAGGTAGACACGCAGGACAGTAGCCAGCAGCAAGGTAGACACGCAGGACAGTAGCCAGCAGCAAGGTAGACACGCAGGACAGTAGCCAGCAGCAAGGTAGACACGCAGGACATTGGATACCGGGGATGCTTGCCTTACCAATGCGGGTACAGCGGGTACTCTGACGTGATGCATCATTCCCTTGTTCTCGCCCTGTAATGCCTGCCTTTGTCAGTTCTACCACTGTCCTCACTCATGCATTCTCTCTCTCTCTCTCTCTCTCTCTCTCTCTCTCTCTCTCTTCTCTTCCCCCCCCCCCTCTCTGTGTCATGCACATACAGATCGCATTACATCCCCGTCAACGCCGTCATCATTATCGCCTCGGTGCAGCGATGTACATACCAAGGCGATGCCACGCTCCCACTCCGTCCTCAGCTTTATACGCCGTGGCTCGTATACATCGCAGCCTGGAGCAGCTCACGAATCTTGTCTTTGTGGGCATGGACAGCAGCACACTACCCACACAGTTCCTGCCACCGCCCGGGTGCATCCCGGACGACGAGAGTTGCTTCGAGGAGACCGCCAGCACTCAGGACCCCATGGCAACAGCGGCGTGTGCGGACGGTCAGTAGCATGGACAGCCTGCTGGTATAAGCAGTGTTAGCCGAGCCCTGGCAACAAGAAGAGTGCGGCGGCGGCGATGCGCCGCAGACGCAGTACTTGCTCCGTGATGTCCAGTGCAGTGCCGTTGTTCTCACGCCGCAGCTCGGTAAGCTCGCAGGTCTCCCGGCCAATAACAATAGCAGACAGACGTCCGCGTCCATTATAGAAATGCTTGACGGCGGCACGAACGGGACTTACGAATACTGCAAGGACGGCAGAATCCTGTACCACGGCCCGGACATGATGAGTTCGGGTGACGAGTACTCGGCGGTACTCGGTGACGCCAGCTCACACGTACCATCCGGAAAGTACTCGCGGCCAGCTATGCGTCCCGTTCCGAAGTCCCTCCCCATGTGGTGGGGGTGGTAGGTCCGCCGCAGCCAAGCGCAACGACTGGGTTGATGACGCAACCCCGGAGGATGACCTCACCGATGATGTAACGTGTCATGTGACAGCCGGGCAGACGCCGAGAAGACGGATCACCGCCAGGGATGGCTGCGTCTCCATGGGATCCGTAGACTCTCTGTTGACGACGCAGCTCTACTCAACCTCTCAAGTCTCCGTCGACGAGCTCATGGGCTGCTGCCATTCCTCCCCGGGTAGTGTGATGTCATTGCCACGGTGTAATGACATCATCATGGAGTGCAGTGACGTCATCGCTTCCATCCCACCGCTTTACGAGAATGAGGTGGGCGCTGAACTGTGCAGGCCATCTGGTAGCCATACCTGCGCAGATAAACACCATACAAAGGAATCGGTTGATTGTAAGAAGTCTTGAGGCCTGTCACACCACTTCCGAGTACATCCATCGTCAGTGGCATGGCTGCCAGAAAGAGCTCGTCCAGTGTGACGGGCGCAAGAAATGTCTCACCGACTTGTGTCATGAACAACAAGGAGTGACTCAATCGTCGGCATGGTATCCGCCGGGAGCGGTTTCTCCCACGCTCGCGCTCCTCAGCAGGAGTGTTTCCTCCACCAGCGTCGTCGCCGCAACCAGGAATCATTCCTCCCCGGTTGCGATGGAACCCACCAGGACCGGTTTCTCCCCTGGCGCAGGTTGACCCGGGACATGTCACTGGATAGCATCGCAGGGACTGGGGGTGAGGGCAGGACCGGCGTGGATTTCACCAGGAAAGCGTTGGCATCTGCTACCTGCTCAGACAGCATATCACAGCCGCAACAAGACGGTAAGATCAGGGAACATGGCTACGCACACACTGCAACCACTCCTCCGCCGCCGCCAGCAATACTGCCCAGTCACAGAACCCAGCAACGACAGCAGCAGCAGCAGCAGCAGAGTTTACCAGGACAACAGCAAGGGCACTTGCACCACTACTGCCAGGATCACCATAACAGCCAGGATAACCCTGAACACCATGACAACCAGGATCACCCTGATCACCATGACAACCATGAGGAGGGGGAGGAGGGCGCCGAGAGCCAGTACGGGAACAGTGATAACACACACGAGTACGCGGTCTTCCAGCTGAACAGCCGGGCCAACAGCTCCGATAGCTCGTCCGGCGGCAGTCTGACACGGAGACCATCAAGCTCATCCTGCACCTACGCTGTGTTTGAATCGCACAAGGCGTCGCGACGAGCAAATGATCACGCCAAGTCCGTGCGTATTTCCCGCGCCACCGCTGCGTCAAAGAGGGGCGGGCGTGAGCGTACGCATCGAGCGATGTCCCACCATGGCAACTCGTATCCCTTGGCAACCTGTGCCGCGTCCCGTGGCCGAGCACGCAAGTCCGGGTCCGTTTGCGACGCTGCTGCCGCTGCTGCGGGCAGTGATGATCAAACGCCCAGTCGAGCAGTGCTGTCGTCCGTTCCCAGCTTCTCATGCTATCTGCAAAAGCGCGCTGTCACCACCAGCACCAAGAGTGCCCAGACCAGTTCAGTAGGCACGGAGTCGGCAGACACGTCGTCCCGCCGTCCGCCACTGCCTCCACCTGGCCAGGCAGCAACGAATAGCACACCGGCGAGTGCAGTATCGAGTGCAACATCGGGTCCAGTGTCGAGTGCAGCTGTAATACCAACAATAAGTACCTCAAAGACAGGGCTGAGGAATAACAATGGTGGTGTTTGTCCACCACGGCCTCCACCAGGCCGGGCAGGCGCAAGGAGCGTAACCGTGAGCGCAGTATCGGGTGCAGTATCGAGTGCAGCTGCGATACCAATGGCAGACACATCAAGGCCACGTCTTTCTAAAAGCAATAGTGTTGGTCCACCACAGCCTTTAACTGGCCGGGCGGCATCGAGGAGCGTAACCACGAGTGCAGCATATTGCCCAGTAACGAGTGCAGCTGCCATATCAACGGCAAGCGCATCAAGAGCACGCCTGACGAACGGCAACAGTGGTGGCGCACTCACCCGACGTCATCGTGACAGCAAAGGCGACATAATGCACTACGCGGCAGCTAGCAGCGCCGATGTGGAGGTGAACAAGTTCCACCCTGACGCTGGAGCCGAGTCGGCGAGCTCAGGAAGGAAATTCCATACGCCAATGTCCAATCACATGGTCAAGACGGCGATGAAGTTCCCTGTGATGTCACCGATGAGGTCATCACGGAGTTTGAGTGAGGTGCACACATACACCCTACCATCTCATCAGAAGGTGAGCGAACAGCAGCAACAACAGCAGCAACAACAGCAGCAGCAGCCCAAGGCGACTCGCTCGGCTGCAATATCGCCCGTGCTGAGTCACAGCTCTTGCATCACTGAATACGACGACAGTATGGTTCAGGACACTGCCAGCACCGTGCAGTCGGCCGATGCCAACCAGCAGCGGAAAGAGAACTCGGCCAACCACGCCAGCTCCGGTGTGCTGTATGAAGTTCTCATCGGACCGCGCAGTCGCTGCGCTACGTCCACGAGGTTTTCCGATGTCGATGCCCTTACGTCCAACGTGGAATCATCGCTCGATGGTGCATATTATTCGTCCACTGTCGACGCCATTTGTCATTCTGTAGCCGGGAACGGCGAAGACTATGCATGTCTGGCGAAGAAGGCGTTCAGCAACGGAAACGTCCCCCTGAAACCATCATTCAAAGCCAAAGATCATTGGAGGACCATCAGTTCGCGTTTGAGGCATACTCAGCAAAGAAAACGCCACTAGGACAAGCAGAATCAGCAGCAACAACAGCAGCATCAGTCGTAGCAGCAGCACACTGCCTCAGAAGAAACAAAACGGCAGCAGCAGCAGTCAAAACAACAACAACAGCAACAACAACAACAACAACAACAACAACAACAACAACAACAACAACAACAACAACAACAACAACAACAGCAGCAGCAACAACAACAACAACAACAGCAGCAGCAACACCAGCAGCAGGAATAGCAGCAACGACACCAGCCCGCCACTATCACCACTATCACCACTATCCGCAGCAGTTACAACAATAACCACTACTCCAGCAGCATCATCAGCATCAGCAGCATGAGAAGTATCGCTGCTCATCAGCATGAGAAGTAGCCATAGCAGAAGCCATAGCAGTGCTGTTAGTATTAGCAGCAGCAGTAGCAGCAGCAGCAGCAGCAGCAGCAGCAATAACCAAAGCAGCAAGAGAAGCAGCAGCAGTGCTGTTATTTTAGCAACAACAGCAGCAACAACAACACCTGCAGGAGCAGCAGCAGTAGTAGTAGTAGTAGTAGCAGCAGTAACAGCTGTGACAGCTGTGGCAGCAGCTGTAGCAGCAGTAATAGTACCAGTAACAGCAGCAATGCCATCCAGAGAGGTGTGCTTTGCTGTTGCTGCTGCTGCTGGTACTGCGGCCATCACGCAGTCGCACAGAATCATACACAGCACATCTCCTGCACCCTAAACATGCCCTATGTACACAGCATATCTCCTGCACCCTAAACCTGCCCTATGGCGGCCTGAGCCTCATCCCTATATCTTCCATATCAACGATACGCCCCATATTTACAACACGTGCACACACACGTGCGCGCGCGCGTACATATCAACATGTGGCCCCTATGTAGCACGCACAGCTCAGTGTCACATCCATTACTCTGCCAGTCGCTCTCTCGCAGGGCATATTTACAAAATTAATTGATTTATTCTATTCTTGTGCCTACTTACGAATCCCCTCGCAGTAAGATGCAGGGAGTAGTAAAATACCATAATTTTACTACTCCCTGGTAAGAAGTGTGAACGCTCGCATATCTATGCAGTACCGACCGCTTCTATTTGTAGTTGCTTTCATCTCTTATCCCATCCTTACTGCATTCTCCTAGACGAGTACATCTTCACTTGCTTTGTGTTATCGTACTTGATCCCGTGCGAGTTTCTGCACGCTCAGCTTCATTTGCATTGCACCTCCGTACATGCCAAATATTCTGTTAACCAACCCCCCCCCCCCCCAACCCCATTCAGCGCCAGCTTCCGCAGCGAGTGTCCTGGGAGTTGAGCGCACGCTCATCATGTGTGCCGGTAGGCCGCCGTACATGTATCATAGCAGCCACTGTATGTGTGCTGATGTATCATGCTCGTATCAAACTATAGCCACCGCGATTCCTCTGGTGGAGCATGTGGGTATCGAACTAGCCACCGCGATTCCTTGCTCTGGTAGACCGTGCGCATATCATCGCAGCCACCGCATTTGTACCAGTGGGCCGTACGTGTGTTGGCTCAGCCATTGCCTGTGTGCCTTGCACCATTCTATTCTCTCCTATCCGCATCCTCTCACATGTCCTAGCCCTTTCTGACAATTTTTCCGGTTTTTATAGGTTTTCCCTTCTTATTGGACATTTACTACACTCCGGCTTGGTATGGGCGAGCTGGGCTTGGTATGGGCGAGCTGGGCTGGATGGTGCCTGTTTCATACCTGCTCACGGCCAGTTGCCCAAGTTTAGAATCTCTTGGCATGCACCAGAGTTGCCCATGTGCTGTTTGAAGGGCTTGCAAACTATACAGGTCCTCACTTCCCATACTGTGGGTATGGGCACATTTTTTTACTTCAATTTTTCGAAGGATTCGCAAACGTTAATTGCAGCCATTTTTCACACAATATTTTACCTAATCGCAATACGGAGCACCGGCACGTGTTTGTTTAGCTCACGAGCACGGGCGTTGCGACGCCATCTTTTGAAACTGGTCACCATACCAACCGTAACTTATACAAGAAACATTTCAATGACTATTACGCCTGCCTGCTGCTGTTGTTGTTGTTGTTGTTGTTGTTGTTGTTGTTGTTGTTGTTGTTGTTGTTGTTGTTGTTGTTGTACGATTGGGTAGCGGAGCAAGGCATGCTTCGTGTTTCATGCTGGGCTGGGAGTCATACCAAGGAGTCGTACCCGAACCAGGGAGTCGTACCCAAACCAGGGAGTCGTACAAATGCTGGGACAGTGGTGAAAGGTTATGGTGTTGTAGGTGCCTTTGTCCCATGATGATGCTTGCTCAGTGCTTGCTCAGTCCTTGCTCAGTGCTTGCTTAGTGCATGCTCAGTGCTTGCTCAGTGCATGATATCAAAGGCACCTGACCCAGCTTAGCTAATTAGGCGAAGCTGGGTCATCGCTGCTGTTCCCACCTCCTCCTCCCCTCCGGGTTCCCGGGCTTCCGCATGGCGAAGCACTGCAAGAGAAGCATGCACGTCTGCGAAAGTACTGGATGTACAGTTTCACACCTGCAGATTTTCTCTCATAACAACTCTAACGGACACGATCTGAATACCCCCCCCCCCCCCCCACACACACACGCATACACACAAGTGCTGTACGTGAGACTGGCTTCACATCTCAACGGCGACGATAGTGCACTAGTGGCTGCACGGGTCATACAGTCCTAATCAACCATCACGGCCACATTCACCATAGACATCAAGAGTACAATCTGAGCTAGAGGGTTATCTCCCCAAGAGTGTGCACAACCTGTATGCAGTGCTGCGACGATGGCAGAACTCCACATCACCAGACACGGTTCAAAAGGTTCCGCAGGCAAACCGTGCAAAGTGACCACAAAAGAGTTGAAGCAGGAGTCCATAACCCCCCCCCCCCCCCCCAGAGTGTGCAACTCTGTACATGGGGATCCGCGAGGCGGAATTCCAACATTACGTCAAAAATGACGTACACGTTCGTTGCGCTTGTACTACTCCCTGGTTCCAAGCACCGCGGAATGCGGAGTTTTGTACAGCTGTGCCTCAGCAGCATGACATAATGTTGGAATTACGAGGCACAGTGGGCCTACAGCAGCCAGACCCCAGTTGCACACTCTTGGCGTTAAGGACTCTTGTTAGAATCCAAAGCAGCGTTGCCTGCATCTACCATGCACCGAGTGCAAACAATGTGTACGGGTTTGTCGCGTGACGCAAAGTTCTGCCATCGACGTCGCGTCGCAGACCCCATATAGCTGGAGTTGCACACTCGTACTCTTCTGGATCATGCACTCTTGCAGATGCCCATCCTAGCCACATGCATCACAGACAGCCGTCCATGCCGATGCGCCCCGGGAGAACAGCAAAGATCATGTCACAATAATCACACAAAATGTGTTCAATTGGCTCAAGGATGATGACGACGACGACGATAATAATCCTCTTCTAATGTTCTCGTGAATTAGTTATCACCAGTGTAACAGCAAGGTTAGTAGCAGCAAGAGTAGTGGTAACTGCATGGGTACTGTGAATAGCCATAGAGAATACGTACGGTGGTGGACGTGGAAATCCGGTCGATCGTCAAGCGGCCCAGGGCGCTGGCCACGCGGCCAGGAGCACCCATACGATCAACACGTGCAGTGCGTGTGATGCTATGAGGGCGCCAGCCCCGTGTCAATCGATGTTCTGTACGCACTGACACTGAGGGCGCCAGCCCCGTGTCAATCGACCGGATTTCCATGTCCACGGCGGTACGTTGTAACTAGAGTCAGAAGAACAGTTGGGCAGGAAAACACCCTTCAATAATGGCATTATGAGTCAAACGGTTCTACAAAGTCAATGCCGTGAAAATTCATATCGTTGACCGCTTCGCTGTGGCGCTTCCCAGCCGGTTTCGCGCAGCAGGACCAGGAATTCAATCCAGGCTGTCAGCCGTAGTAGCAGTAGTATAGCACAGTCCTGCTCGATGAAATCCAGTGGCGTTACTCAAGCTTGCGCCTTGCATCATTTGCCAGCCCAGTGTGCGCAGGTCTAGGGTTGCACAATGCCCGGTGGCGTGTACTTGAGTGACACGACTGCATTTCACTGAGCAGGGCTGTGCTGTGTCCAGCCAATGCTAAAGATCAGACGCGCAGTGCCAGCTTGTGCACAGCTTCACACACACACAGGCATACCCGCACTGGCACGTACTGTGTAGAGCAGCAGCGCACGCGTCGGTTCAACACCGTATCAGGCCGCACGTCTGCCACCACCTTCTTCAACAGACAAGGGGACGGATCAAGGAGACTTGATGACATAAGCGGAAGCAGTAGCAGTCATCCCTGGATTTGACACCTTTTCTCTCTTCGAGTTCTTCATCCCGTGCATCACCCGGTTTCCGACACCCAGTTTTAATCCAATAATGGCAAACTTCTCAGCAGCAGTGGTTCCTGCCCCAGTGGTGCGTGTAGGAGCGGCGCACAGTGTTTGTTGCCGTCGGCGGCGTGAGGCCTAGCAGCACCGGTGACAAGCCGTTCGTTTCACGTATTCCGTGACAGCGCCGTCTGGGTCAGCACCACACTGGGCGGTGGAGTTGACAGGCGCAGGTGACGCGTACTGCTATCCGAGACACCAGCGGTCGAGTGACCCGCAAACAGTGGTGGTGGAGGCGGTGGGGGCAGTGGCGGCGGCGGTGAATTCGATCTACGCCTATACCGCTGATGCATACTGGAGTACTGCTGCTGGTGCTGCTGCTGCTGCTGGTGCTGGTGCTGCTGCTGCTGCTGCTGGTGGTGGTGCTGGTGGTGGTGGTTATAAGCATGTTGCAGTGGCTGTGATTGATCGTGCCCGTTGTCCGCGGCGACCGGTATGAGGTAGTGCGGTTGCCTTGACAACTGCTTGTCCGCGGTGTTTGCGTAGTCGCCGCCGACGGGCGTGATATAGTACTGCTGCGCTGCGCCGCCATGACGATGATCATCATAGTCATGGTTGCGATGGTAACTAGGCGGCGGATACGTTGCCATGGCGGGCTGTGCAACCAGGTGGTAGTTAGCGGGCGGATAGTAGACGAGGTCTGAGGACTGTGGGGCGGCCTGTGTACTGGGAACGACGGCATGGTGCGATTGTTTCTGTGATGGCGGCAGTGGTGTGTAATGCTGAGGTGAGGTGCTGTGCGTTGCAACGGGATGATGTCGTGCGTACGCTTGTGCCAGTTCGTCGTGCGCCGACGACGAGCCACTACTATCCACTGGAGTGGCGGCCATGATGGCTGTGGTTGTTGGGGCAACGGCATTGCTGGCTCCATCGCCGCGTTGCTGTTGCTGATTGAGTGGCGTGTGCTGAGTGACAATCTGAGCTGAGGACAGGTTGGGCAGGCTGGAAACGTTCTGGCCTAGCTCCTTACGTACTCGTCGTCTTGCCCACACCTGGATGTGACTTGATACCTGTGTGCAGAATAGGATGCATGCACAAACACAAACACACACATAGACATGTATGAATTCATGCACACACAAACACACACAAACACATACAAACACATGCATACACACACACACACACACACACACACACACACACACACACACACACACACACACACACACACACACACACACAACACACACACACACACACACACACACACACACACACACACACACACACACACACACACACACACACACACACACACACACACACACACACACACACACACACACACACACACACACACACACACACACACACACACACACACACACACACACACACACACACACACACACACACACACACACACACACACACACACACACACACACACACACACACACACACACACACACACACACACACACACACACACACACACACACACACACACACACACACACACACACACACACACACACACACACACACACACACACACACACACACACACACACACACACACACACACACACACACACACACACACACACACACACACACACACACACACACACACACACACACACACACACACACACACACACACACACACACACACACACACACACACACACACACACACACACACACACACACACACACACACACTTGTACTTGTACTTGCTCACTGCCAAAACTGGTCACGTGGGTCTCCCCGGGAGAGGGGAGAGAGACTCAAAAGGAATCTTGGAAAGATGACTCAATTGGCCATTGAACCACCCAACGGCCGACACCCCCTGAAATCCGCAAACTAGGGTGGACTTGAAATGATCCCACTTATGGGCTCACCACACCTCAGTAAGTGGGTGAGAGCAAGGTGCAGAAAAAGGATATGATTACCTTACACGCACGCACGCACGCACGCACGCACGCACACACACACATACACACACACACACAAACACATGTATGCACACACAACACATACACACCAGCACACATGCAGGACACACACGTTTGGATGGAGGCACTTTCATGCACGCACGTCGGCAAACAAACGGACGCAAAGATACGGAATGAAAGCTCTTGCCCATTATCTACAGCATAGATTTACCTGGTGCGTGCGGCTTGAGTCAAACAAAGGGGCAAGCATCATCATTCGGCACTGTACCGATTTTTCATCAACCACAACACCAATACAGCGCTGCATCGATGTTACCCTCACTCCGAGTAGTGACTACCCAGGGCAGGCGTGGGTGTCGGCGCAGTTCACTGCGTGTAAAGTGGTTCATGACTACAACACCGCTTTTGTTAGCACAGTACACGCTGCCTGCTGCCAGCATGCGCCTCGAACTCAGGACTTCATGATTCACAGGCAAGCCCACAGCCACTCGGCGAAAGCTCTGGCAGTCTTCTTTATGAACGGAATATATCTCTGATCAACACCAATAAGGAATGGGTATGTAAGCATCACCTACGTTCTCAGGTAGCGCATGATCTCAGTGGATGATTTGCACACACCGAGATAGGGATACTGAACAACCGGAAAATTTCGGTGGAGGTGTATTTTCGGTAGCTTCGGTACAGGTAGTTATCACCTAAAATAAAACGCACCGAAAATATGCGTACATGCATGCCAGCTGCAGTACGGAACACTAGTTTATCGAAATGTTCGCGCTACCGAACCGTTGACTTTGGGAAATACTGAAAATATCACACCACCGAAAATTCCCAGCTTAACAGTATAGTTCCCCCCCCCCCCCCCATGCTGTGAGATGAGGAATTCTACCAGGACTTAACTTACACACACGGAGATAGGGATTATAGTGTTGGGTTGGGTTGGGTTGTGTTTATTTGAATTCGCAAACCGAACGGACTGAACATGTCCAATGACAAGGAAGCGAATGAAGTCCAAGTAACCCAGGAATGGGGACACAGATGAAAAGAAAATATGGGAACAGAAGGCTCTCAGCAAAGGAAGACGAGAAAAGAAGAAAGGAGAAAAAGAAGAAAAAGAAGTTAACGCCAACATACCTGTTTGCGTGTTCGGTGTTTCCCCGTTCTCATTTTGATATAGCGCGCGATCAGCTCATTACGTCCTGAACATCAGCAACAATACACCAGCATGGTATAGCATGGCATAGCATGGCATGGCACAGCGCAGCACATACAACCAAGTGCACATACACACATTCATGCATGCATACATGCACATACACACACAGACACATTTACACACAAACACACACACACAAATACCTTTCCTTTCACGCGCTGACGTTCATGTGCCACTGTGGTCGCATCCTTTCGCGATGTCGTGCAATCTGATAATGACACTTGACATGCTGTACGAACGGGACTTCCTGGCTGCATGTAGGCCGCGCACCAGCTGCACCAGGCCCCTACTGCACTACAACTAACTGACTAGTACAATGTACAAGACACAGGACGGTGCAGGATGTGCTCCCGCGAGGTCGGGCTTTCCGCAATACATTGGCGACTTTTCAAAACCCCGGTCGAAATATTTTGTGGGGTGCACTTGCCCCCTGTGCCCCTCGCCAAGCACGCCCCTGCTAACTGCTGCCTACAACCCGTTGCCTCTGTGTTAGTGTACTGGTCTGCTAGTGAAAAACCTCATGAGTTCCCCGCACAAATCTCCCCTCCCCTTCCTCCATTTCACACCCCCCCCCTCCCCCCCCCCCCCCCCAACATCC